CTCCATGTCTAAGATGAGAAAATCGGCTAGAAATATGAACTTTTCTACTTTTACCAACACATCTTCAATGATCCCTCTTGGATGTGTAAATGATCGATCTGCTAACTATAGGGTGAGTGTTGTGGCTTTATCTTCTTCCAAACTGAGTTTCCTGAAAACAGAGAGAGTCATCAAATTAATAATTGCACCTAAATCACACAAAGCTTTATCAAAATGACAATTTTCAATAGTGCAAGGTACAGTAAAACTCCCTGGATCCTTTAGTTTTGGAGGCAGCTTTTTTTGAATTCTGGCACTACATTCCTCAGTTAGCATCACTGTTTCATTTTCTTCTATCTTTTGCTTGTTAGAGAGGATATCCTTTAGAAATTTTGCATAACTCGGCATCTGAACAAGTGCCTCAGCAAATGGGATGTTGATGTGTAATTTTTTGAAGACTTCAAGAAATTTACTATATTGCTGATCTAATTTGTGCTTTTTCAACCTCTGCGAGAATGGAATAGGTGGCTCCTGCGGATTGATAGAATTGGTAGGTGTACCCCGTGATGTATTGGAACTCCTCTTGGTAACATCCCCAATTGTTTGTTCAGTATGTTCGACAATCTCGTCATCTGAGGTTGGTGCTGATTCCTTGCTAGCTACCGGTCTTTTTACATGTATCTCCCATAGTTGTACTCCACTTCTAGTTGTTATAGCCTTTTCATACTCCTTAGGATTGATTTCAGTGTTGTTGGATAGGTTTCCTGGTGCTCTACTTGTCATGGAGATTGCCATCTGTCCCATTTGCGTCTCCAAATTTTTTATTGCAGCACTTTGGTCTTGGAGAGTTGCGTCTGTCTTTCGCATAAACTGGTTGTTGGCCTCCATGTACTGATTAGTCGTTGCCACAAACTTCTCAAACATCTCTTCTAATGGTGGCTTTTTATCCTATTGCTGAAATTGATCTTGTGGTCTGTTTTGATTCTGGTTGCTCTATGAGAAGTTTGGTTGTTTTCTCCAGTCCTAATTGAAGGTTTTAGAATGTGGATTGTTCTATTGGCGTTGACCCCATTGCACAAAATCTGCATGTTCAACCCCCTGTGTGAGAATTGGACAGTTGACAGTATTGTGGTCTGTTCCACATTCTTCACAACTTGGCTTCTTGACTTTTTTTGCATTGACGATCTGTGAAATGCTCTCAACCTTATGGAACAAAGAGTCTATCTTCACGGATAATGCTGAGTAAGTATCTACTTCATAAACCCCCAGCGTTCTCTTCTGAACCAGTCGATCTGTAGACCACATGGCTGAAGTTGTAGCTATTCTCTCAAATAGTTCCCATGCTTCGTCAATTGTTCTTGTGGAGATAGAGCCGTCGAATGATGAGTCCATGATGCTCTTGAAGGATGGAAGTAATACAGTGTAGAAAAATCGAATTTGTGTCTTTTTATCAAATCCATGCTCAGGACATTTCCTTAACATATTTTTGAAACGATTCCATGCTTCTTCAAATGATTTGGACTCGTCTTGGTTGAATATAGAGATATCATGCCGCATTTTTGCCACCTTAGCTGGCGAGAAGAACTTGGTACAGAATTTGTGGGCTAGCTCGTTCCAAGTGGTGATGCTTGCGACGGGAAGTGAATCCAGCCATTCAAATGCTTTATCCCGCAAAGTGTGTAGAAACAATCGTAGTCTTATAGCATCGTCTGAGATACCCTGGTACCTAAAGTGTTTGCACATGTCTAGAAATCGGGATATGTGTGTATGTGGATTCTCACTAGCCATCCCGTGGTATTGATGCCCATTTTGAAATAGTTGAATCACATTTGCTTTCAGCTGGAAGTTCGGTTGCCCAAATGGAGGATATACAATGCTAGATTGACTCTGAACCACCAGCGGTGCCATGAAGTCCACAACCACAAGTACCATATTCCCTATATCTTCAACCCTCGCGCCTTCGTTGAGTAGAATTACCGGACGATTTTCCTCGTTAACCATCTGTTGTGCCGCTCTAGCTTCTCTTTGCCTGTGATGAAATGTGCGTTCGATCTTTGGATCAATGGGAACCAAATCTCTATCATGTGATCTTTGCATACAAGCTCTGAGATAGCAAAATAACACAAAATTAAATTAAAGTAAACAATAACTAAGTATAGTAAGCTAACTTCTGCTAATATAGGTAAGTTCGAATTAGTGTCACAATAGATAAAATTAAACTAAATTTCAATCCTTGGCAACGACGCCAAAAACTTGTTCATGAAATTATTTCTTTCGATTTAAAACGCACCGCAAGTGAACGGTTCATTAACAAGTAGTAAAATGGACTATGAGTCCAAGTATCGATCCCACAAGGATTGAATTAATTCAAATCAATCTATTATGACTTAACCGAAACATGAAGTAGGATTTATGTGTTGTGATTTGACTAAGGAAAATGTGAACTATGATGCAATTAAGAATGAGAGAATTATATTAAATGCAAAATGACGTGGACACAATCTACGAGAATTTATGGAATTAATGAATTTACTAACGCACTAGGTTCACGAATTCCCAAGCAATACCCGTTCAATTTTTTACCATGCAAATTTGACACACAGTCCCACAAAAGATGAATCAATATTCTTAGTTTAATTTAGAAATCTCCCTCGAGTAATGTCAAACCTACCCTAATATGTGATTCGGCTATATCTCTATGACAAATACTAACATACAGGAATGTATTATGATCTTACGAATATCCAACAATTCACAAAAGGCGTAGAGGTATATTTCTATCCCCTATCGGACCCTATGATGATTTATACTATGTCGAGTCTATTTTCCTTCTTTCGAATGCATAAAATAGGCCATCAAAATCATATAATTATGTGCATAATAATAATATGGAAATAGAAACGTATAAATCATTCAATTCCAGAACATGCGTTTAAATATATCAAATATCCAAATCAAACGTAGTAGTGCAAGGTTTCATCGATCTCCTAGCAATGAAAAATCTAGCCTAACATGATAAAAAGAAGAAAATACAAAAATAGTTGAAGAAACATCATCACCCGAATCAAGTTTCAATTGAATCTTCACTTGGCGCGATGTTTTCCTCTTGTTCTCTCTTAATTTTCTTCTTGAAAATCTCTCTTTTTCTTGTAAAAATAGTGCCCCCTTCGTTCTGGTCGAGTTTTCGTTTATATAGGATCCTAAAAAGATTGTTTCCATAAGAGTTTCGACGGAATAAGGAAACTACGGATTTGGCCAAAAAAATGCTCTATGCAATTGCATAGAGTAAAAGTTTTGTGACATCTAATTCTTGGTTTGCCTCTATGCGGCTGCATAGAGGGTAGCACTATGCGGTCGCATAGTCCTACCGACAATGGAAGAAGTTCATATTGGTCATTCTACTTGAATCCTTCACTTCTTGGTATATTTTCTTCATTCTTTCAATTTCATCATCCCAAGATATCATCAATTGGCATTTGGATTAATCAATTTCTCGATTTGTTCATCGGGTCAACTTTTGAATAATTTCACCTTGGTCCCTGAACTTTCACTTTGCGTCATTTTAGTCCTTTTTCACGTATTCTCCTGAATTTCACCATGTTCATTGGTGTTCCCTACAATTCACAAATGTAACGAGATTAAGTCATAATTCAATCATTTTGCTCGTTATCAAGTCATGTTTGTGACCTAAGTGTGCAAAAACACACTTATCAAAAGACTTGACTATCAAAAGACTTTTGCCCCGATTGCAAAGCTAGTTAGTGTAAATGTTTTACTTAGTGTTTCAACTATTCAAGGATGGCATCTCCACCAACTTGACGTCAAAAATGCATTCTTGCATGATGATTTTGATGAAGATGTATACATCATCCTGAATTTGGATGAAATGGGAGACTCGATCATGCAAACTTAAAAAGTCATTAAATGGTTGAAACGAGCTTCCAGGCAATGGTTTTATAAGTTATCTTCAACTCTCTCTAGTGTGGGTTTTCAACAATTAAAGGGAGACTATTCACTTTTCATTCGACGTTTCTCAAAGGTCGTTTTACGAAAATTTTTGTATGTGTTGATGATGTAATATTGAAAGGCAACAATCTGCAATAGATTGAGGATATAAAAAGAGTTTGTATCCAAGCAATTCAGGCTCAAGGATCTTGGTCAACAATAATACTTCTTGGGCCTAGAAGCAGGGGCGGAGCCAGGATTTACGTCCAGTGCGGGCATCATTTTTCGACGCCGAACTTTGAGGTTTTGGTCATAGATTTAATGATGATAAAAAAATAAAACAATATTACAACAACACCAAAAACGACATAATTTATATATTAAATTTGTTCCTTGCAAGTTTTCATATTTTGATATCGTCGTACAATAACTTCATTATCGAGCTTCAAAAATATATCTCTCTCTACATAAACAGTAGTGCTATCATTCATCCACTGATCACCCATCCGATGGCACAATCTATTCTTTACGATGCTCATTGCAGAAAAAACTCTCTCCACAGTAGCGGTAGCAACCGGTAAAATCAATGCTAAAGTCAAAAGTCTGTAAACCAATGGATATACCTTATCTTTCTTTGTCAAAACTAACTTCTCCGCAAGATCACCAAGGCCATTCAACCCTTCAAACTCTTTGTTAGAGCGCATGTCAAAAATATAAGTCTCAAGTTGATCGCTAAGTACAATACAATCTATTGCAGAGAAATCTAATGGATAAAGCTCAGCAAGTCTAATCAAATTTTTCTTGTCAAAAGAAGAAAATGAATCTTGTGGGCATAAACAAGCTACACAAAGGAGTAACTCTGTATTTACCTCCAAGAAACGATCATTCAATTCTTGAAGTTGTAAGTCGATGATAGAGTAGAACAAATCTACTCGATAATGATATAAATTTGTAATTTCTGGAGAATTACGCTGACGGCGACCACGAATTGCAAGGCGTACAAACATATCATCCATGTTGGGTACATGAATATAATATTTTTGACAAAAAGAGCATACTTCTTCCAAAAAGGAGTCCTACCCTTCGTCTCTCATTATTTGGAGTCGTCGTTTGCACAATCTTACCAATTGCATTGCATTCACAATATCTTGATCTTTTCTTTGCAATGCCTTTGACAGTTCATTTGAAATCCCCAACACACTTCTCATCAACTGTAGATTAAATGCAAAATCAAATCTTTGTATCAACTCCAATAAATTTGTTGCATCAGATCTTTGATCACAAGAACAAGACTCATCTTCAATAATTATTGCGAGTACATCTACAACAGAAGAGAACATGGCAAGCAAGCTGACCAAAGAATTATAATGTGAACTCCATCGTGTATCACTAGAGCGCTGAAGGCTCATTTCTTGATTAAGTCCCCGTCCACTTAAAATCACCTTTTTCCAATGTCTCAACAATAAAGTCTAATTGTTTTTCTCGAAGAAGATCACATCGTTTGGAAGATGCTCCAATAGTATTTATTACGTTCCCAACCACACCAAAGAAGTTAGTAATAGGGATGTTCTTCTTTGCAACAGCCACAAGCGCAAGTTGGAGTTGATGAGCAAAACAGTGAATGTAAAAGGCACATGGACTCTCATTCAAAATGAGTGTTTTCAGACCATTAAACTTACCTTGCATATTACTTGCTCCATCATAACCTTGTCCTCTCAATCTAGACATACTCAAGTTATATCTAGAAAATACATTATCAATTGCAGCCTTAAACGATAGAGCCGTGGTACTTGTAACATGTTCAATCCCTATGAAGCGTTCATTGACACGCCCACTATTGTCTACATAACGTAAAACAATAGACATTTGCTCCTTCATTGACACATCACAAGATTCAACAACTAGAATAGAAAATAGCGAGTCACCAACATCTTTGATAATAACATTGATCGTTTCAATAGCACAAGCATTTACTATATCCTTTTGAACATCAGGTGATGTCAATTTGCAATTGTGAGGTGCATTTCCCAATGTGACGGCATTGATAACTTCATTATGAGCAGCCAAAAATTGATATTGCACTAAGAAGTTACCTGAATTGAGAGAATCCTCAGATTCATTATGACCTCGAAATGAGTGCCCTTGTCGCAAAAGAACTCGAACACAATCAATGGATGCATTAAGGCGTGTAACATATGCATTTCTTGCTTGTTCTAACTGTTTGTAGAAAACTGATTGAATATGTTGCTCTTGATTCATCAACACTTCACACTTAATGC